TCGTATGAAAAATTGAAACCCGTTGATCTTATCCCAATGCCCGTTAGGCGCCTGAGGCTGAGAAGATAAATTCCATTGTACAATACACAGTATGTATTTCAGCCGTATATTTTCTCTGACCACATGAGAATTGTATTCTTGCATATATGCGTGAATGTAAAATACATGCATACATTTTTAGCAGAATGCACAAACTCAAGTGGCGGAAGCCATTCTCCTCGCGTAAACATCCTTCGTCTAGAAACCCATAAGCGCCGCTATCCGGCTCGAAGGAGATATTCACGGGACTCTCGCCATATATCTGATGCTTAAGACATACTGACGCTGGAAGTTACATACGGCAGGATCGATAAATGGTATTATCAACACATATTTTGTTGTAATGCCGTCTTTGGTACCACATAGCGAATAAAAATTATTTATGGTATAATTAGAGCTCAACCCCATTGGAAAAGATACCAAATAAAAAGAGTCACAGAGAATCCTTTAAGAATTCTTAATATAGTAAGCCCAAAAATAAGTTTAATAAATAAAATAGAGAATCATAACCATAAGATCAATATACATATATGCATAGATAATACACAAATTGTCCTGGTAATTACTCAAAACTTTAACTGCGCACATCCGCTTCCGGATCGATATACAAATAAATGTAAATGGCTAGAGCGCACTGATATTATGCATTAGATATATATATATATATATACTTTAAGCACAGAAACTCAAAAGAAAACTTATAAAGGGCTCACAGCCCTTATAAATATGCATCATATAAATATGTACATCTGATATATATGAGTATGTCTACCAATGAGTACAGACACTCCACCATATGCATGTATAATATAATGAATGTGTGAAAAAGTCGTTCCAAAAGTTAGTTAGTCGATTTGTTTTGCTACTCATTGCAGCGGCGGTTTTAGTTGGTGTCACAAACTTTTACAAATTCATAGGCACAATGGCTTGTGCTTGTCGGCCCCATGCCGTACTTTAGTCACCAATATAAGTTATTTAAATATTTTCCACATCAATGCAATTGCATTAACGAGCCAAAGTCATGTTAAGCACACAGACACATACGTTATCGGGTGTGGCCTTTAAGAGAAGAAAGAGAAAACTTTGTCCTTTATATGACATGCATCGGCACTCAAAAGTATGCAAAGAGTCTCTGCCTTTTATGTTGACACTTCTAGCACCGCAGCAAACACTTTGTGTAAGCGTTTGCGCTCTCACCTTCGAGCAGGCAAACAGCATTGAGGAAAGGTTGAAGGATGTAAGAATGAGTGTGTCAAAATAGTTGTGTGGATATTTATACACATAAGGGTATGTACACCTAATATGTCTGCTGTTTTTTTTTTCCTTCATTCATTTTTTTTATTTTAATTTATTTTATTTTAATTTATTTTATTTTATTTTATTTTATTTTATTTTATTTTATTTTATTTTATTTTATTTTATTTTATTTTATTTTATTTTATTTTATTTTATTTTATTTTATTTTATTTTATTTTATTTTATTTTTTATTTTTTTTTATTTCATTTCGTTTTATTTTATTTTATTCATTTATTTTTTTTTTTAATTGATTAATTCCATTTAATTTTATTTAGTATATACTTTTCATCATTTTATTCTATGCTGTATTATTTGATTTAATTTTTTATTATATTTAAAAAAAATAATGCTGATGCAAAAGAGAAATGGACCCTAATGCCCAAAATCATGCACTGAGCAATCCTTACAATCTTGCAACTTTTTACCTTTGGAGCCGACGATTGGCGGAATTGTTAACGAGGCTGTGGCGCTGTAGGCAACCACTCTTTGCGGCATAGAGGTAATTTTTTTCGCCTTCTTTTTACACCAAAAAGCCATTTCCAGACTTACGCCCTCTCACCACAAGAGGCGGTTTTATGAGAACTTCATTTTCCCCATTTGCTTTTCACATGATTTTCTATGTAAAAAGCAAACAATTTTATGAAAACATTTTTTCTGGGTTATGAAATCATCATCGTTTTTTGTCGCGCTTGTCGTCGACGTCGTTTGTGTCCACACCTCACACTCTCCAAACACTTGCAGCCATAATGCCAGCGCCGGCAATAGCTCAGTTCCATCAGCATTGAAAGCGACTGCCGACGACTATCATCGTCATCTTGTCATAATGCGACCATTTTGCGCGCCGTCAAGCGCCAACTTTAACTAGAAGCTTGCCAACCTCTGCGGTCGACATACGCCGCGCCGTCGTCTTGTACTCGCCAAAGTTACGAATTGCAAATTGATCGCATGCGACAAGTTTATATTTTTCACTTTGATTTCCTGCTTCCGGCCCCTGCGCTCTACAGACAGCTAGCGCCGGTTAGTAGTAGCTTTACTGCTGGTTTTTTATTACTGTTATTATTATTATTATTGTAGTGGTTGTTGTAGTGATTTTTCTTGCTCATTGGAGTTAAATCAAATTGTTCGGAAGCTGTAAAAAGCAATTGCACGGAAGTGTTTGAGTAGCAAAGCGTCGGTATACACATACTCATAAGAATAATATGTGATATGGCAACCCATGAGAAAAAGAGCTGCTGTTTTAGGGTAGCTGCGAAATCAGGCATGAAGTTGGCGTTAGGGAGGCTACAAAACCGCACAGGTGCAGTATTATGTTTGAATGCATAGCCATAAATGTATGCAGCTACATTGGAACTACTCAAAGAACATGCATGCCGTTGGGAATTTAGTGTCTAAAATAAATTGAAGGCGAACTCAAACGAGCTACTACGAATTTTACTAGACGCTTCGGTATGCTGAACATCACTGCTTAGTTTAGATGCCAGATATGTTAACTGAAACTGTTCTGCGCTATGCGTTCGTGCTATGATTAGTTATTTTAATTAAGGTTAGTTTGGTTTCATTGAGTTTTAAATTAATTCAAATTATATTAAGTTCAGTTCGGTTTGTTAAGTTAAGCAAAGTTAAGTTTAAATTTTGTTAAGATACGTTAATTTAAGTTAAGTTAAGTTAAGTTAAGTCATGTTATGTTATGTTAAGTAGGTTTAAGTTGGATCAAGTCAAGTACGTTTAACTAATTCAACTTAGTTTAAGTTAAGTCAAGTTATGTTAAGTTAAGTTATGTTAAGTTAAGTTATGTTAAGCTATGTTATGTCATATTAAATAATTTTAAAAAGTATCAAGTCAAGACAAATTCGTTTAACTACATAAATTATATTTCACTTAAGTGAAGTTGTGATAAGTTATGATAAATTATTTGAAGCACGATCAAGTAAAATCAAAATCGGTTGTTATGTTAAGTTAAGTTAAATTAAGTTAAGTTAAGTTATGTTAAGTTAAGTTATGTTAAGTTAAGTCATGTTAGGTTAAGCTAAGTAGTTTTAAATTGGATCAAGTCAAGTAAATTTAACAATTTCAACAAAATTGAAGTTAAATCAAGTTATGTTAAGTTAAGTCATGTTGAGTTATGTTATGTCATTTTTAATAGGAACAAGTCAAGTCAAATTCGGTTAACTACGTAAATTAAATTTAAGTTAAGTCGGGTTATGTTATGTATGATAAGTTATATTAAATTATTTAAAGTAGGATCAAATCAAATCAAAATCGGTTGTTATGTTAAGTTAAGTTATGTTAAGTTAAGTTATGTTACGTTAAGTTAAGTTATGTTAAGTTAAGTTATGCTATGTCAAGGTCAATTGGTTTTGGCCTGTACAAAATTTCCGGCCATGTCTACACCACCACAGCTGCTGAGTAAACATCAAGTCTCCATGCCAAACCCAAAAAAGCCCAATGCCACAGTAATGGACTGCCAATTTCATTATAATCAATACCAAAAAAAGGTGGGGAATATTGCTTAGAAATATTATATATAAACAAGTCAATTGTAAATAGTTACATAATAAAAAGTTGCGCTAAACAAAACAAAAAACAAAAAACTTATATTATTGGCACAGCGAATACGGAGAAAGAAACTACCCAATTTAGTTTCTGGCAAGGCAAAAAAATTCATAACTTATTTAGTTACTTGCATAGAATTGCAAAAGCTGAATTTCTTACATTTTTTTGATTTTTTTTTTTTTTTGCAAGCACTTAGTCAGGTCATGGCAATAGCTGGCAAAGCATTGCTAAATTTTACTTTTCTATTTTTGACTTTTCCCCCAAGTAATCTTGCCTCTGCCACAATTTCGTGTAGGTGGCTGTGCGGCCTTCTTCCGCAGCGCTGCGTTAATCGCAACTATCAGTGGCAACGCAAAGCGTGAGAATTCGTACGACTCTCAACAGTTGTAAGCAAACTTTTTTCTTTTGTCTTCTAAACTACACATTTGTGCACATACAGACAGTTTCGCTTGCTATTGCAGCTGTCACTGATGGTGCCACTGAAGCACACATTATAACGCCTAAGTTGCACTTAAAAGTTCCATAATGTAGCGCATATGTTGTGGTGGAGAGTGGTCGGATGAATTTGGTGAATGCATTGCTGAGTTTATGAACACAAAAATGCGTTAGAAAAGTCATGTTTAATTTATGAAGACATGCAGTTCTTTGGAGAAATAAATATCGTAAGTATTTTTCCTTTGCTTTTTCTTGATTTCCAAATTAATACAATTTAATTCAAATAAAATTCAAATAAATACAATTTACATATTCTTAACGTGTTTATTAAATATATTCGCTTGCTTTTATTTTTCAAACCAATTTTTTTTTTATATTATCAATAAACATGACTCAATTGTATATTGATATTCCACTTTCGAAGAAGCCTTTTCAGCAAAAGCTGAGTGGTTAACAGTACGTTCTAGTACTCTGTGGGCCATGGGTTCGTGGTCATGCCAAGATCAAAAATCATAGAAATTTCATTTAAAAAAAATATATATTTGTTTTAATGACGTTCGACCGTCGCCGGAGCATGTCAAGCGAGTTAAAAGCCTCTCATAAAATCAATCAGTCGTTCGGAGACGGATTAGGAAAAACTGCGGATCACTCTATGTGTATAAGGGTTGAACGATCAGTAAGTAACGCTATGCTCCTCTCAAAGAAACCCTTGGCAAAAAATTGCCGCAATCGATTTTAACAGGATTTTCTAGAGGATAATTCTTCACAGCATTAAGCAGGAGCAGATGGTAATCACTTGGTGCGAGGTCCGGACTATTTGGTGGATACTTAAGAACCACCCATCCAAGTTCCCGGAGCTTTTGGCGGGTCACTATTAACGTATTTAGTCCCCCGTTGTTCTGGTAAAACAAAATTCCCAAAGCTGCCCAAGGCTTTTCTCTTCGGCGCGATTGCTTCCTTCAGACAGTCCAATTGTTGACTGTAAAAGATCAAAATAAAAGTTTTTCTTTAAGAAAGCAGCAAACTTGGAACGATTTCTTGCGCTCAATGTACAATATAAAGTTCTTAGCCGTCAATCGTGGCTTGGATACTGTTTGTGCCAGCTCCTTGCTCTTCGACCACGATCGTAAGAGATCCACCTTTAAGCAGCAGTCATCATCCGCCTCAGTAATGGGTCGTTTTTGATACGATTCTTTGCCTCATGTGAAAAGCTTCTTTATGTGTCAGCCTTTTTCAAGTGGTACGAAACTGTGTGGAGATCTATGCGTCGGAGTGAAAATAAGATTCGTAAGCAAAAATGATTTTTGTCAAGCGTTCTTCAGTGCATTGGACGAAACAAAATCGCAAGTGATAGGCTGCAGTTATTGGGCCAACTGAGGTATAAGGTATTTGACCTGGACGAACACGAACCGACTTAGCAAACTCGGTCCATAAATTTATTCACTGCCTGGAAAGCAAGTCATTTCCCTAACGCGTAGTTTCTTGCAGTTGCGATCGAAGACCAAACATTTTAGAAGTAGTTTTTCAATATTTCGCAAATTTTTTCACTCTTTTATCGGTGTAAAAAACCCCAGGAGCCCAAATTTTTTTTTGGGCTCTGCTTTCGGTAGATATGGATTATTTTAGCGGGGAATCCCGACGAAATCTCGGGTCGAACCGTGAACGTATAATTCGTCATGTAAATTTAAGTATTTGGCATTACGAGATGCGTGAACGTTTACTCGTTGCCGTTATTCGGTATGAAGCGTTCGGAAAGGCCAAACGTTAACGAATATTCCTTTAGGAATTGTCACTCGATCACAAAATTTTTTTCGTAAACAAGCAAGCAATAAAAATGTAAGTAATTTATTTTAAATTTTTATAAAAATTTTATAAAACTAATAAAAAATATTATTTAAGTACAAATCAAATAAAATTAAAGCGGCATAAAAGGAGTTTATTGCTAAATTAATGCCGTCACATAAAAATTAGGCAAAAAAAACCTTTTGCCAAATTGCACATAAGTGAAAGGAAATGCTTGGCCTGCCTGTTAAGGATATCGAAACGTGAAAGAAAGAATACAAACATAAATTTTCCTGTAATCCGAAACTTTTCTCAACGTTATATTTTAAGTATACGCTGACCGAAAGCACAAGGCAAAAAAAAAAACTCGCAAGATCCCTAATTCGTCTCCTTACAAATTGTTCATCGACATCACTTTCTTCGGAAGCTAAACAAGAAAGATAAAAGGCCGCTTATAATTGTTTTTATTTGGCAAATATCAAGCAATTGCGTACAGTAGATTCAAAATTTTAAGAGATTAATGTAAAAGCTGAGCATAAAATCTTTTACCTTTACAAATAATTATGATCCGTTCCCTTTGTACTGTCTACGTAACACGGAGTTTTCTTACGTACGACTGCCGATACGTTCTATCGTACGTACGGAACGCTCTATCGCCTCCTGTTTTAATCACACACTGTAAGGTAAAAAGGTCGTGCTCCTGACAGTAAATGCTTACTCCTTCATCAAAATCAATTAGTTTTTTTTTACCATACAAAAGTTGAAAAAAAATGCGAAAAATATCCACAAATTGAAATTAAATCAATTAATCACATCAAATCGTTTCAATAATTTATTTCACCGTTAATTGAGTGCGTACAACAGTTGGAGACTTTTTTACGCCGAAAGCCACAAATTAATTGTCATTTATATAACAATTTGCGGTAATTTACTTACAATGAAATTATTTAACCATCAATTTTAATTGTCTCTATTAAATTTAATTTTCTCACCCAAACGAAATGCATACATACATACGTTCGGAACGGAAGTACATATGTAAAATATGGCCTATAATTCACTTAAGTAAATCACATGCACACATCCACACACACACACACACACACACACACACTCTAACGAAGCGAATATCAAAATATGAACACAGAAGTGAACAAACATTCGCAATTACAAAAACAAATTCGAGCTCATTTGGTCAGTGTCTATTAATGCCAACAACAAGTGGACCTACTTGTTTTTGTTCTCTTTGTGCTTGTTTTTGTTTTTGCTTATAAGAGAAAGCAACAAATTGCAGTCAGTCAACAAACAGTTGTCCTCTCTCTAGTCAAGCACAAATACAGGCAATTAATTTGCACACCCACAATGACATGGCAACCTAATAATTCTTGTTGTCACAGCATAACTTATTTCCTGTGAAGCACTCAATGCCCTAGCACTCAATTCATTTGAACACACACGGACACACACACACACAAATACATACGAGTTCACAAAATCAGCTGCCCAGCATACTAAATAGCGAGCGCTCGGAATTTGTTCATCAAAGATGATTCAAGGACGATATATGCACGTGGACGCGCAATTTCCAAATTATCATGAATCATTTGGAACATCTTCTTCTTATTTATTAGCGTAGGCACCGCTTACGCGATTAAAACCAAACCAACAATTCACCGCCATTCCTCCCTTCTTTTCCCTCTTTAGCGCCAGTTGAAAATACCAAGTCAAAACAGTTCCCTCTCCACCTGATCCTTTCAACGGAGTCCACTCTTCTTCTGCTTCCACCAGCGGGTCCAGCATCGAATACCTTATTAGCTGAACCATATAGTAAACGGAGGTGATGAAGGACTTGTAGAGTTAAGTTCACTGCCAGACCTATTCGCTGCGCTTCCTTAACCAGTCTGGGGAATGCAGAACTCACGGCGCGGTTGTTGAAGTCGATGATGTTAACACCATCGGCAAACGCCAGTAGCAGCTCTTATAATTTTCACCAGCCATAAATTAAGGAAATCAAACGATAAAGAATGGCGCGGGAGAGGTTCTTCCCAATTCTGACTGTGCATCTTTTCAATCGTCATTGAATGGGGTTTCGGGTTCACCATCTCCTGGAGTTTCATTTTTGCTGCCGCTCAGATGTCTGAAGAAGTGTGCCATCTATAAATTCGGTATACTCTGGGTATCAATCACTAGATCCCCTCTCTGGGTCCTACGAGAGTCTGCTCTGGTCTTGAAGCCTTCCGTAAGTTGCCGCATCTTTTCGTCGAACTTTCAAGCATTACCCTTGTCGGTCACCTTCTTGAGCTCTTCTTACTCACCCATGAGGCCAACTCTTTCTTTTTTTCTGCAAACTTGTCTTGCTTCCTTCTTCAGCTTTTGTTATTTATCCTGCTTCGCATGTGTTATAATAGTCGATCCAAAGGTTGCAAAGTAGACAGTCTGTTTTATGCAGCTCGTCATTCATCAACGAACCATCTCTTTATCTAGCACTACCGAAAAGCAATTGTTTCTATTGCGGCCGTACGTACGTCTTATACCGAGTTGGTGAAGAACGCACTCAGAAAGCAGCTCTGCAAGTCGAGAAAAGACTGCTTATGTGATTGCAGCTTTTCGACGTTTAAGCTCATAAGCATGCTCGAGGCGGTCATAAAATGCCCTTTGGTCACATTGTCCTTCTCTTCTGTCGAGGAATGGCCGCAAATCTGCGTTGCCCGGACAAATTACATTCTGATGCAGATTGTGGTGAGACTTTTATCCCACAGAGTGAATACCAGCGCATCAAACATCCGACACCGAATTTGCGCTCCTTTACGAGTATATGGCCGCTGTAATAAATGTCACAAGGACTCTCCTTCTTCCGTCCTTGTCCCGTCCATCGCACTTCCTAGATGGCGATAATGTCAGCCTTTAATCTTATTAGGACATTAACCAACCGGGCAGCCGCAACTTTTTAATTAAGGAAGCTTACATTACATTTGCATGCTCTCAAATCATGATTCTTTAAATGTTTGCGGGGTTCTCTCGTATGATTTTTTCATTGGAGTATGGGGTGTCTCAAATCCTACGTACAACCCCATGGGAATTACTTTTCCCTTTATCTCGTCTCCAAAAGGATACTTGTTGGGTACTAGAGGATACTTGACATAAGACTGGAAGTCACAAGCTGCTTGAGCCATATGCAAAAGAATCATTTGTGGCCACTCCCAAGTGAATAGCAGTCAAAAACTTTCCTCACCTGCTTGAACTTCTACACATGGTCCCATTCTCCTCCCTCTTCAAAGGTTGGTAGATGCGTTCGGAACGCATGTTTTGGAGAGACCTCATTTAGAGGGTTATCAGTGCTTCATGCAGATGAGTGTAGATCTTAAAAAAGAATATTTTGATGATTAATAGATGCTTTGTTTTAATCCCGAAATATAAAAGTCATTCTCGTACTCGCAAAAAGAACTACATTTTTTGAGGTAAAAAACTCGTTTTAGGAGATACAAAATTTTTAACACTCTTCCATGTATCGTAAAATCGGTCTTAATGTTTACTGGGAACAAAATTGTGCAAACCGCTCAGCAATTGCAGTAATCATTTGTGTACGAGTGTTTGTAAAGACTGTCGATATGACTAGACACGCTATGTGGATGGCAAGCTATTCGCTATGGGTGACGCTATCCACATTTGCCAAAATATATATCTAAACAGGCGCAAATCAAGTTCGACACTCTGTGACAAAATGTATTACGAACTATTTTGCTGTTTGCTAACTAATACATCGGAAAACAACAACAAGTATTGATTGGAAGTAGGCAAACTGTGTGACATGAAGGTGAGAAAATATGGGAATTGGCTGAAACTACTTTGATTATTGGAATTTTAGAGCCGAAGATTAAATTATCAATTTGGAAGTGTTACAGCCGTTTTTCTATGGTGAATTCCGTGCAAAAATGGTAGGCAACTATTTGGCAGCCAAATCAGTTTGCATGAAGTTATTGATCTATTGGAAAATAGCCAAATAAATTATCAAATTAAGTAAGTAAGTGAGGAAAAACTAAGGGCAGCGCAGAAATCTATGAGAAATATTAAATAATTTTTAGACGTTTTTTGTTTCTTTCTCTGACATAAGTATATACGAGTACATATATACCTACATTTTTATACATACATTTTGTTATATATTTTAAACTTTTTTTCTCCCCTCCCAATCTGCTTCTTTGGTTATTTTGTGTTTCTTTTCATACTCTTAGCCAGTTTTGTTTCGTCGGTTTCTGCGGCCTAACAAATTTCCGGTGACAAAAACTTAATTAGCCGCCTTTTACTGCTATTTTAGTCTATCGTCCGCTTGGAAATAAATATGTGTTGCTTGGTTGCCATAGATTTTACTTTGGTATTCGCGTAAGAGGAGGAAAATTTGCGCCGAGAAGAATCGCATATAAATTTTTACCAAGAGCAGTTAAATACAGATTTATTATGTTCTATGTTTTAGAGATTTTCGGCATTTAGCCTCTTTGTTGCTGTATTGAATGCAACAACAATGCTCTTTAAGAGATACATAAACATTGAGTTTATTTGCTGTTTGTAATGAAATTTTATCAAGCCTCTAGTAAAAAGTTGTGCATTATTCTTTAAATAGGTTTAGTGGCGAAAACGCAGGTTGGGCAGCTGAAAATATGAAAAATGTATGTGGTCGAATATTGCAAACGATGGAACGATGAGCTGTGCGAGTTATACAGCAACATTGACATAGTTCAGCGAATCAATAAGCCGCGGCTATGCTGGCTAGGTCAAGTGGTCCGGATGGATACCAACCCTCCAGCTTTGAAAAGTTTCGATGCAGCACCTGCCGGTGGAAAGAGAGAAAGAGGAATTCCTCCACTCCGTTGCAAAGATCAGTTAGAGAAGGACCTCGCTGTACTTGGTATTTCCAATTGACGCCAAACAGCAAAAAGAAAAAACGAATGTCGCAATGTTGTTAAATCGGCTATAATCGCGTAATCGGTGTCTACGCCAGTAAAGTAAGTAAGTAAGTTTCTGGCCCTGATACTGGAACAGTCCATCATACACAATTTTGGTTTCGTCAATTTTGTGCCACAGTTTGTAACCACTCTGAAGAGGCGGGATACATAAAAATGTTCGAGGTAGACCAAATTTCCATCTACAAATCGCTATTGAATCGCAGCCAAATGGACCCTAAAGCAGATCGCAGCGTCAAATAAAAGAGGTTATGGTCGAAAGGTAATGAGCAAACTCAAACGGAGTCTAAGGCAGGATTAAGAGGAAGGAAGGTTTTGTTATGTACTTCGTGTATTTAGCAAGGAGTCTCTTCATTACTAGTTGCGACCAAACTCTTAATTCTAATAATTTCAGCAAAAAAAAACCGCCTAATGTAAGCACTCGCCCCCAAGCCCCAATTTCGCCTAACCGAAGGACACTTCTCTTTCATCAGAACAACGCCAGACCACACATATCGATAGTGACTTTCCTTAGAGTCCGAACCTCGCACCAAGTGATGTTCCTGTCTATGTCGCATAATTTGGCTAGTGAAGAAGTGGCCTCAGGGTAAACCTGTGAATATCGATTGCCCCAATTTTTCGCAAATGGGGAAAAGGGTTTCCATGAGGGTAGCAAAATGATTTTTTCTACAAAATGGCCAAAATTTATAGAGTGAAATCGTGCATATTTGACATAAATCAGATCATAATAATCCAACCAATGTATTCGTGTGGCCGAGGTTCAGAGCATACTTGGTATATTGAGGGAACACTATCCAACCTGTTGAATTACAGTAAATATGCAGCACCCGAAACCACAAAAGATGATGATGGAAAAGGCATTCCGTTAGATGGAGAGGTTCAAACAGTGAGTGCTCGCTTAAAGAACAACAAAGTGGCAGGAGTAGATAGCTTACCAGTAGAGCTATTCAAACATGACATTGAAGAGCTGCTGTTCAATCTGTACGTGTAAAAGGAGGATGGAGATTGGAGGATGTGTTCTGCGTATGACTTATACACCCGATAGAAAGGATTTGACCCAAATTTAAATTCAGAAAACATTTTGCCTTCTTAACTAAAATAAATGAGCAAGAGTTAGTCATAAATGAAATACTTTTCAGCTCACTTGAAGGGGTCGAATATCAGTATAATTTCGGTGCTGACGATGCCTTTCATAATCCGGTAGCATTCCTGAATACACTAAAGTTTCCCTATCTCCCAACCCACATATTGAAATTAACAGTTGGAGCGCCATTGCGTTACTGCACAATAAGGTGAAACAATTTTTCTTCCTACGATCATATTCTTCATATCGTCAAAATACTGCTTCGAATTCAAGAGAGTGCAGTTTCCCATCAAAATATAAGTCACCATAACCATTAGCAAAGCTCAAGGTCAATCTCTTAAGGTAGAAGGAGTAGACTTGACAGAAAGCTGCTTCTCATCTCGCTTCCGTAAAAATATATCAGAATTCTATTTTAATTCCATGTTTACTATAGCTTGAGTACCCCCCGAATTTGAATGTAAACTTAAATATATTTTAAGATTTCAAAAAATTTCAAATAGTAATTTATTTTTTAAAATGTATTGAGTATCTTAAAAAAACAACTTTAATTTGATTAAAGGCATTTTCGAATTCTATGCGTTCCAAGTCCCGAGTAAACTAAAACTAAATATTAAAAATAAGTATATAAATTTCGAACATAAGCAACTAAATGCACAAAAATCATATCATCAAAAGGAATATTATTTATTGTATTATTCCTTTAAAACAATTCTCCCAAATGCAATATTACTTCTTAACAAATTTCCCCTTAAAATCCAATAATACTTGTACAATATACCGTAACTTGATTTTCTTTCGATGAATAAATGAACAAAAGCACAAGAAAATAATAGCCACAATACATACAAACGAGTACATATATATATACGTACATATGTACGAGTATATTTGTAAGTAAACGATAATAAATAATTCTGTTTTCAAACACAATGCGAATAAAAGTAATGGAATAAAAATAGACGTAACACAATTTTATTTTATTGGTATTTATTGTTGCTGTGCTTTGGGCGGAGCAACTTGATTGACTAGGAAGAAAAAATACAACAAAAAATGTGCAAAGGAAAATGAACTGAATTGAAATCCTTCAAGCCCAAGGGAGTTACTAAAAAAAGAAAAATTTAAAAAAATATTAAATAATTTTACAAAAATGAGTAAAATTGCTGAAGCGATTTGTAATGGAGTTCAGCAGAGGATTAAACTGTATTTGAGGTGACATAAGCAGTATATAAGTATAAAGAATTAGAATTAGACGCCTCTCTTTGAACGTAAATATTTTATGGCTGCTCAATATTTATCAATATACTTCTTTGTCTAAATTTAAATTTGTAATAAAGACAAAATTTAAAAAGTTTATTGAGCAATAATTATGACGAACTCCGGATTATTGCTGTGAGTTCCTGAATGCCGGTATCCTTTACAAAAGTAATGAACAGTTTGGAGTTGACATTGGATTGTCGTCCTACGCACTAGTCGTAAAATTAAAGAAAAGTCTCTAAATAACTTTAAACTAATCTGTAAGGGAAGGGAAGGCAGAAGCGGTAGCCGAGTGGTTAGCATTGCATACTGGCATTCGGAAGGCTCGCTTTCATATCCCGATGACACTAACGTCCAAGATTTATGGAAAATTAATTTAATTAAATAATATGTTAAGTTTCCTAATTGCGGTCGCCCCTCGGCAGGGGCCATCAGCCGATCGGAAGCGGCTTAGTATAAACTCTATGCCCCTCCATTTGTTGGAAAATCATCAAGACACAAAACTACAAATTGGAGGTGGAGCTCGGCAGCGGTTACAAAGCACCATTTATATGTATATACGACTATATATTTTATGTAGCTTCTGTGTGCAGCATACTGTTGATACAGAGATATTCGTATCTTGTTCAATTGATGCGCTCTGATGTGATATGTTATATATCAAAAAAAAATTGTTTTAATAATTCAATCAGTTTTAAATTTACAGAAGCAACTAAAGGCTATAAAATAGTATTTTTAACTTATTTTGTAAGAAGAAAAATTGGCTTTACCTTTCTTTTTTTTACCACAAAATTCAGTTAATGATACCTCTGAGAAATGGAAAACTCTTGTAAGAGAGAAAAAAAATCTTTCGACAGTCTGCGAATCTAGCAAGTAAGAGCCTAAAGCGCACTCCTAATTGCTGCGAATACAGAAACTCAAACAAACTACAACAAGAAAAACATTGCCATAGTATTAGGCATCG